CTTTCTTTCTTTCTTTCTTTCTTTCTTTCTTTCTTTCTTTCTTTCTTGAGAGAGCAGGTTATGTGCATGAGAAGGGGAGGAGCAGAGGGAGAGGGAGAGGGAGAGAGAGAATTTCAAGCAGACTCCACACCCCCTGCAGAGCTCAGTGTGGGGCTTGATCTTATGACCCCAAGATCATGACCTGAGCTGAAATCAAGAATTGGATGCTTAACCAATTAAGCCACCCAGGTGCCCCTTGCATGTGCATTTCTAAGGCATCTATAGTATTTGCCACTTTTTGGTCATCAGCTTCAATTAATATGATATCAATCCCCCCAAAATATCTAGACAGTTGAAGGTTAGCAGAATGTGCCACCTCAAAATATGCCACTTTGGCATAGGCTTATTTTGTTTGAAGGCAATTGAGAAGAAGTAAATACAAGAAAAGCTCTTTGCCCTCCCCCAATTTGCTTTAAGGCAGGATATAAATTTATAAAGGTGTCCCCCTTTCCATCTCTACCAGGTAGGAGAGTTAATCACCAGAGATAACCAGGTACTTATCAGCCCAGAGATGATACCAAAGGAATCTATATAACAAACTTCGCAACAAGTCCTTATGTACTGTTTCCCCATATTTTTGCCTTCCCACGGAATGCTGCCCCTAGAACTTAAAGTCCCTTGCCTTTGTCTTGTCACGTCTCAAAAATATATTGCTCTTTTGTTAAGATGTTATACAAACCTGTGCTCTAACCACCCCTGTGAGTTACTCATCTCTGAGTGCTCCCAAGTGCATGTGCAGTGCACATGTTAATAAAGTTCTGTTTGTTTTTCTGTTGTTAATCCATCTTTTGTCAGGCTAATTCATAGAGCCCCAGCCAGTGAACCTCAGATAAGTAGAAGGAAAACAGTTTTCCTTTCCCACACAATCCAGGCCCCTTCAATCTATTGTATGCCAGAGATCTTGAAAATTAGCATAACCTTGGGATATGACAGTGAATGTATATCCCATGTGAATATAAACTGCTCTCATTTTCCTTTTTTGTGGGTTATGGATTTCTTGTACAATATCCACACATTGTGTACCTGAGGCTGCGTTAATCTTCTCTAATGAAGGTACCACATGTGTTACGGTGGATCCAACCAATTTTTATGGTGGCTATTTTGGTGGATGAAATGGGAATATGGTGGGAAACATCACCTCTACATGTTTTAAGATCACAATAACTGATCTTATTATTTTGCTGTGCTGTGATATTTTTGTTTACTCTAATTTCTGGGGTGGGTAGGGATAGTTTCAGGGGTTACCACTTGGCTTTTTTACTACAACCATTCCTAATCGATAGGTCAAAGAACCAATCTTAAGTTTCTGCCAATTGCTAAATATGTGTACTTGAATTATACATTTGGGGACCAGGGAAATGACAACCAAGTGGGTCCATAGAGACAGTAGCCCCTACTGTGAGACTGACCTGGGTCAGAACTCCACGTATTACTTTTATTAACTGAACCCCTTATTCCCTCAACTCTCATGGGGAGGAGAGCAAGGTGGCACTTTGAATCTCCTGGTATCATATTGCACTTGGACTGGATATCTACTAGGCCTTGAAAGATCTGGGAATTCACCTTTCCCAAGTGTGCCATTACCCAAATAAGTGGCTATAGGTTCTACTGGGGAAGGATAAAGGAATCACTACTGTATATAATTGCTAATGTTTGCTTCAGCAGCATATATACAAAATTGGAAAGATACAGAGAAGATTAGCATGGCATCTGCACAAGGATGACACACAAATTTGTGTATATAATTGCTGTGGTGCCATAGAGACCTTCATCATCTGGACCCAGATGCTTCCTCAGTCAATGAATGGGTTTTGCATCTGGGAGTTGACTCCAGTCTGGAAACTGGGCAAAAGTTCATGACTTTCCACTGGGGAGGGTTACCTCTGTCTTCTACTTCTCCATTCCTGATTTTCCAGATATAGGTAGGTAGGTAGGTAGATAGATAGATAGATAGATAGATAGATAGATGGATTTGACAGTACCCTGGGCAGTAGTATTGATCTTGCGTCTAGAAATACCATGTATTTCAAGTTATCTCTATAGACCATTTTAAGTTAGACCCCTCTTGGCTGCCATTCATACTTTGCTAACCATGCTATTCCAAGATCCTGTCATGCCCATTGCTTCTAGGGAACTCAGTTCTGTAACAGCTACCAGTTCATCTCATAGAAGACAGGCAATACTCAATTCACAGCGCTCTCCATAGCACATACCCTCCCCAATGTCTATCACCCAGTTGAATCAGACACCTGTACCTCTGAAACAAATAACACATTATATGTTAAGAAAAAAGAAGAAGAAGAAGATAGCAGGAAGGGAAGAATGAAGGGGGGGAGATCGGAGGGGGAGATGAACCATGAGAGACTATGGACTCTGAGAAACAAACAGGGTTCTAGAGGGGAGGGGGGTGGGGGATGGGTCAGCCTGGTGATGGGTATTAGAGAGGGCACGTTCTGCGTGGAGCACTGGGTGTTTTGCACAAACAATGAATCATGGAACACTACATCAAAAACTAATGATGTAATGTATGGTGATTGACATAACATAATAAAAAGTAAGTAAATAAATAAATAAAAAGAAGAAGACAGGCATTACTGAGCATTGCAATGATGCTGGTGTGTTCCTCCCCAGTTCATTCCTTATTGCTTTAATAAATGGCGTGCTCTCCAGGCCCTCTTAAGGAAAATGATGCTGGTAGGTTTTCCAGTTGTATACAAATGATCCATTCTAGAATGCTCAGCTCCATAACCCTTTTGAGCTCTTTCTCACAATTTTCCACGGCCTCTCTAATTTAATGCCAGCTATTTTTTTTTTTTTCTAAGCCTTTCAGAAGCATCACTTAGGATTCTTGCCAGGGAGTTAAATCCTGTATCACTAGAGAGTTCCCTCATATTGTAAACCCTCCTTTATCTAACTTTATATCCCACCTTCTTGATCTTGCACCTTCAGGATTCAATTCCAGACACATTTTCTTGGTTCCTGCCAGTGCATGCTACCCATGTCCTGTAGCAACTTTGATGTATAGCCCCTCCTTGTCCCTGACAGGTCCAGTACTTCTCCAGGCTGGCTATGCTGAGATTTGATCATATTTAAGGGCTTGTTGTGCAGGTGGAGAGGAGAGGGCAGATTCTAAGGAGGTCATTCATTGTTTTGTTTGGCACCTACCACATTGGAGGCCTCTGCACAGTCTTAAACAAGGTGGGTGATCTCTCCTCCAAAAGAAGTAGGCCAGGGGCGCCTGGGTGACTCAGTCATTAAAGCGTCTGCCTTCGGCTCAGGTCATGATCCCAGGGTCTTGGGATTGAGCCCCGCGTGGGGCTCCCTGCTTGGCGGGAAGCCTGCTTCTCCCCCTCTCCCACTCCCCCTGCTTGTGTTGTGTCTCTCTCTGTCAAATAAATAAATAAAATCTTAAAAAAAAAAAAAAGAAATGTATGCTATTAAGAAAAAAAAAAAAGAAGAAGTTGGCCACTTCTGCTGTCCTGGTGGGCTCAGAGAAATTAAGAATACAAAGTTCACAAGTTCATCTACCTACATGTCCTCATCTCAAGTCTCAAGAGTTCCACTCTGTCCTTCTCTGGGTCCTGTACTGTCATAGGAGATTTGCTGAGGCCAAGAATTCTTCAAAGCTCTGCCAATATCACACTTAAGTTCTCTGTCCACAGCCATTTCCCCCCTCTGGCTTCAGGTGATGAGAACCTTTTCAAATGCTACCAGGGAGGCCTCTGACACTCCCACTTTACTTTGAATTATGAAGAGGTCTGAACCTGTCATTTTCTTTCTTCACTAAATCAGTGGTACTTAGCAACGGCCACTCAATTTCACAGTCTTTGTTGTTGCTACTTGCCCATATCACTCCAATGCCTGAAAAATTATACCAGTTAGTGCATCTCGTCCACCTGCCTCCCATTCTCCTCAAGTGGAAAGTCTTAGTAGTTGCATGTACAGCGTTCCAGAGACTACCAGTACATCACCTACCACCCAAGATCCAGCTGGCAAGTTAGATCCAACTACAAAATTCTATCCTTAGCATCTGCTTCTCAGATCTATTTCTAGTACAAAGCAACTTAGGTGGAGTTTCTTAAAAGTGGATCGTGAGATGGGGATTCTTATTCAGGTCACTCACTAGAGGAGTGTTCTCAGGAGAAAAGGAGTGAACAGTGCCTGATAGAGCAGGGCATAAAATCTAATCATGAATGTGGTCTCATTCAAAGATGAGCTTTAGTCTGAATCCAGGGGGAAGGTCTGGAACACATCCTGCAACAAGTAAGCTCACCCTAAAATGAAGAACCAGGCTTTCATCCCTCGGTACCAGTCAGTTGTTAACTGAAGTTTGTTGGGTGGGTGCTGTGTAGCTTTCCACATGAGGAAGCTCCCGTTTGGCCAGGGGTAACTCTCTAGATAAAGGGTCAGCTGAGAATTGTTAGCAGTGAGCACTTGTGGAGGCTAAAGGATGGGCACACTGGCAGATGAAAAGGATCCATGCACCAACACCATCCCTCCAACAGATCAGCAGTAAGTCTGAGATCCCGCACTCCAGAGCAGCTCACGGGTAATGACTGGTCCAACGACCACACTTTGAGTGGCAAGAATAGATTGTTTTGTTTTCAGGTTTTTCTACCTTCTCTTTTTTCCCTGCATCCCTTTTACTTTTCTTTCCTTCATTCTTCCTCTTTCCAATTACACTGATTCTATGTCTGATCTCCAAGCCAGTTTGTAGGACTGCATTCAGAGATGTGGGCATCTCCCAAGTTTTTTTCATAAGAAAGGGAAGAAAAACCTCAATTTATTGGTCTGCTTTTCTATTGATACATCCAGTTACCTACACTAACGTTGATTTTAAGCAGATACTTCCTTTACATGAATGAACAGTTCTTTTTATTTTTTTAATTATTTATTTTATTTTTATTTTTATTTGAGTATAGTTGATACACAATATTGCCTTAGTTTCAGATGTACAGCTGAGTGATTTGACAAGTTTTTGGGTTCTGCTGGGTTCACCACAGGTATAGCTATAGGTCTTTTGGACAGATTTATTTATTTATTTATTTATTCATTCACTCATTTATTAAAGATTTAGTCATCCATTTGAGAGAGAGCATGTGCATGTGTGTGCAAGTAGGGAGAGAGAGAGAGGGAGAGAATCTTAGTCAGACTCCCTGCCAACTGGGGAGCCCCACCTGGGGCTCCATCTTAAGACCCATGAGATCCTGACCTGAGTAGAAATTACGAGTCTGATGCTTAACCTAAACTGACTGAGCCACCGAGGGGCCACAGGGCTTTTTAAATATTACGGTCTTGGGAGCTGATTTAAGAACAAGGTAGCACTCTTAGCCTTTTGGGAGAAGACCCACAGGGTAGCAAAGCTACCTTAAAGTAGGAACCACAACCAGTCTTCAGTGTAGCACTAAAAGAAGCATTTACAAGCCTACTTACTATGTCTCCCAACTGGGTAGGGGCCCCCACGTGTGGGGTGAGTCAATCTGGTGGAAGCCTTCAGGGCACGGGCCGTGAAAGAATTCACTGAGGCAGAACAAAGGAGATAGAATTTGACTGAATACACCTTGGATCCACAGCAAGGGAGCAGTGGGGCAGGGCAGCAGGGTGGAGACTGTCAGGAGGTGGGGAGCTGTAGTTAAAGGGGGAAGGAGACGAGGTGTGGGAACCTATGGAGTTTTCCTTTTTTGGTACCTGTGTCCCAGTGTAAGTAACCCATCGGTCAGCTAGGGTTTAGGGATATTTTGATGTGGGTCACCTAATGGGCCTGTTTGAACTCAGCCAGTGGGTCACTGTGGGCCCTTCCACCTGACTCATGGGTCCATTGTTCAAGTTGACGGCCTGAAAGCAGCCTCTACAATTACATCCATCTTATTTGGAAATGCTGAGACCCCCAAAAGTTAAGGAATGTATTCAAAGTCACCCAAGAAGTGAGTGGCAAATTTTAGATAAGATATGTCCTCATCTGTGGGCCTCCTGTTATTTTGTGCTACAGTTAATTTGAAATTGGATCTTTGCACCTTGAAAGCAATTTTTGAAGTAGGATACCAGCCATCATTTTTATACTTATGCTTTATTCTTAGAGCATAGTGGAGTAGAGCATCAGCTTGAAGATAGAAACACTATGTCAAGGCCAAAGACTGGGGCTCTAGATGCTCTAGAGTAGACTGAAAGGTCTGACTTAGTTTAGGATACCAATATTCACTTTAGAGAAAATCTCCCGTTATCATAGCATCAACCTCCTTACCGTGGAAAATTTTTAATAAGACTGTGATATCTGCTTCAGATTGGAGAAGATGACTTCTTTTATTGCTCTCTCCTTTTTCTTAAGTGTTGTCATTTTTCATGGCATGGAGGTGACTGGGAAAGAGAATGTATTCAGTACAGTACAGACTATCCTTTCTCTATTCACATTAAAATTAGGACATTATCACCATAATCATTAACATTATCCTCCCTCTCCCCCCGCTCCTCCTCCTCATCAACATTATTAAGTCTCACCGAGGGCTATGTACCAGGCAATATGTCAGGAGATTTATATGCATTATCTCATTTAATCCTCAAAACATTTGCATGAAGCTAATGTACTTAGACTCATTTTACGGATGAGAAAACTAATGTAGAGAGAATTTTAGCATTTTCTCCGCTGTCGCGCTGGGAGTTAATAATAGCACCTGGATTTGAATTGAAGTTGGCTCCTATCAGAATTTGGTATTGTAAACATAGTGACCTATGCTGGCTAGTTAGATCAGAAGGCAAAC